CATTTAATTTTTCACTTTTATTTCAAAATCTGAATCAGTTAAAAATCATCCATAAAATTTTGTCAACATTTCTCTTAGCTTACATAAATAATGACACGAAACTTTCATTCAAATTATGTGCCAGTTTTATATATTAATTATATCTTAACTAAATATATTTCAGTGATAGATGTAATCTATCAAAATACTCCGACACTCTCATGTTTTTAAATATAAAAAAAGCCAAAGTTAGTTAAGAACAAATAATACTAATAATAAGAATAATAATACTAATAATTACATATAAAATTAAGAATGTGAATTAAGTTATTTTTGTAATTAATGAAACTAATTTATCTCATAAAAATAAATATTAACTCACGAAAGATAATTTGAAAAATTATAACAAATATTTTTGGAATTTATAATTTTTTTATAAATAAAAATAAAGAGATGTTTCTATTATTTGAAAACGGATGGAGCATGCTTTATCAAAAAGAAAAATGCTCCCATGTGAATTATGAAATCTTCGAGCGTCCCCCAGGGATCGTAGGCCAGCTCTTCAACAGTCAAAAGATCCCCCCCCCCAAAAAAAAAAAATTTCCTGAAATTATGAATGGAAGACTCAAGAGTCGATTAATTTCTGCACCATTTATTATTACTACCATCTTAGCTGTAACGATAATTCCATGTATAAAACATGGGCCATCCCACTTATCTGTTTAGAAATCGGGGAGATATTGGCCAGGATTGTATTGCGCACTGATTAGTGGTACACGTGTCACTCTAGTGTCGCGAGTACGACTCACACCCGGTACCGCCTGCGAGTAATGGAACGCTGGCACCGGGGCACGAGCATGGTCCATGACGAACGAATAATTGAGACAAAAACTAAAAAGAGCAGCAAATTTCAAAAAAGCGTAAAAAGGGCACACTTTAGCTCGCCACGTGTTGAGGCTGTCTTTCAACGACAGCCACAAGATTTTAACGAGCTGTCTAGATTTCAATGGGAGGAAGGCAAACATGGTATTTTCTTAATATTTTTTTATTCAACAACGACGAAACGGAAATTCAACATCTGACGTGGCACACCCTCCTGGTTCGCTTTTGCACTTTTTCTTCATTACAAAGTCCCTTTTTCACACCCCTCATAGTTCTCGCCCCTCCCCTTCCTCTGCGTTCTATCCGTCTGCTTTTTCTTTGTTCTTCTCCTTTTCGTCGCTCTCTTCTGCACCCCCAAGCTTCCTCATCTTCTTCTGTTTCTCATCGTCTTCATAACTCTGTCACTCTTTTCCATTCCACAGTTCTCTCGTGATTTCAGCCCTCTTGTTGCTTTCTCTGCGGATTCCAATTATTTTCCCGGAAAAACTATTCCGGCTTCTTCTTCGGTGTGGTTTCGCAGACTCTGTTGGGTAGGAGTGAAGGGTTCTGAATGGATTTTGGTTAACAAAAGATTTTTGTGTGGGTGGAAAAGTTTATGTAATGTTCTGGGTATAGGCTTCCGTAATCAAGCTTTGATTCCTTCGATTCGTGATTGATCACCAGATCTAACAATTCGAGGGTATATTAGTGTTTGACAGAAATTATTGATTCTGGGGGTAGAAAGACACTGAGTTTTGTTCTGGTTCTGTATCCGCTGGCCAAGTTGAGAAGATCTTGATTGGTGAAATCTGCAGCTATGGCTATTCGAGTATGTATTATAGAAGTTTCTGTTCTCCAATTATTTTCATTAATTATCTCTTGATTGATTGTATAGTCTCAATTTTCCACTAAAATTATCGTTCTCATACATGTTTGTTGGATATGCTATGATTTCAATCTGTTTGTTCCTATGTTTTTGGTAACTACCTTTTGAAAAGCAAAAGAACGAGGAATCTATTTTTAACGATAAGATCTCCTCTTTTGAATGCCAAAAGTGCATATATTCCATAACTCGATCACAATTGTTGATTTTGAATGTTTCCCATGGGTTGTGGACAGATGATTTTTGGTTATAATTAAATCTATTAATTCCTACGACGTTAAAAAAATTTCTTTGGTTTTATTGGTGATTTGATTGTAAACATGTTCCCTTTGGATTTGAATTCAGGATCATAATGAAGTTTCTAAATACAATGGTCTTCCACTAGAAAATGGAGTATCTCTGAGTTATGGACTACGTTCTGCTTCACAGGTTCATCTAAATGATCAGTTTTCTTGTGGGAATGACCATGCTCCAAAGGTTCAATCTGGAATCCTCTATTTCTACAGATATTTGATTGATTACTGGTCTTCTGATATATAACTAATCCGTTTTGTATTCTCTTCAACAGGTAAGGAAACCATACACTATCACGAAACAGAGGGAGCGATGGACAGATGAAGAGCATAAGAAATTTCTTGAAGCCCTGAAACTGTATGGCAGGGCATGGCGAAACATTGAAGGTACTTTTTAATTTCAACCTTCTGTGTCTCACGCAAGAATAACGCGATCTGATTATTTCCAGAAAATACGAAACCGACGTGATTGTGAAGTAGTTAGTTGTCACAAAAAAATTTGGATCATAATTTATCCTCTCAAATCATGACAAAATAGTGTATCTTTTGAAGATATAATTATAAATAAAAGGAAGGATTATAGGTGTTCTTGGTCTAAGTCTTGGGATCCTTTATTTTTCGCAACAGAACATATTGGCACAAAGACCGCAGTTCAGATTCGCAGCCATGCTCAGAAGTATTTCACAAAGGTTTATTGCTTTCTCTATTCCACAGCCCTTTTTTTTAAACCTTATTATATAATAAGCGAAAAGTCACGTATAAAAGCAAGTTCGAATTTTGAAGGCCACCTAGATGTGGAAAATGAAGAACTTTCGTCGATCTCTGCTTGAAATAAAGTCTGACTGTTTTGCTTGTAGCAGGTTCTTCGTGACTCTACTGGGAGCAGCATAAGCTCCGTGGAGTCCATTGAAATCCCACCTCCACGACCAAAGCGAAAGCCTTCGCATCCTTACCCTCGTAAGCTGGCGGAGATCCCTGATAAAGCAGTTTCCAACACAGGCCAAGCAATGATGAGGTCTAATTCTCTCAAGTCATCAGAATCTGATCAGGAAAACCACTCTCCAAAATCAGTGTTATCTACGGTTGGTTTGGACGCTCTGGGTTACTCTGATTCATATAAACCAGATGGAAGTTCGTGCGAGGAAGATCCTTCCACGCCAAATGCCGATTCATCGCTTGATCTGCAAACTCTTGGGGTATTCCCTGATCCAATTTGTTTGATCATCATCTCTAAAATAGCAGCTAAAAAAGATTTATATAATTCCGCTCTGTATTTTTTCTGTTTAGAAATTTGAGCTTTTCCACAAAGAAAGTATGTCTACCAAAGACGACTCAACGGAAGAACCTTGTGGTCGGATCGTTAAGCTTTTTGGGACTAATCTTCTGGTAACAGATAGTTGTCCAACAATGAAAAATTCGGATGTAGCAGAAGCTCCTGCTGGTTTTGCTCCTTGGAGGACTGTTTCCCTCAAGAGGAAGAATCATCATCTACAATCTAACAATAAGGAAGTTGAAGATGATAAAGTTGAAAAGGAAGCATCTTGGTGTGGTTCAAACATTACTAACTCAATAAATGATGGGGACAATGATGAAAACGCAGACGTTGAAGCCAGAAGTCACATGCATTGCCACAGGAAGGGAGAAAAATTGGACTTTTTTGGCCGCATGACAACACCCAGAGACGCGTCAGACGTATCTGAAACATGGGGGAGGCCTAAAGGGTTTGTGCCATATAAAATATTCATAGCAGAGAGAGAAAATCAGCCCTTGCCTGTAACAGCAGAGGAGAGGGATGGCCAACGCATTCGCCTTTCATTATAGTTTCTTTCTTCCATGATAGGTTTTCCTGAAGCAAGTTCCTATCTGAAGAAAAGGAGGAGGAAAGTCTTGACATGTCATGCATTTTTCGGATGCTGATTTTCCTTCTGTTCATGTCCATAAACCTGCCTTTTGACATAAATAATCTCGCAAAGGACTTTTTTTTTTTGGGCCCCAATATTACAAGGTAGTACATGTAGATCCTTTAGATCCTTTTGTATTTGTTGGAATTCTTTTTCCTACTGTGGAATGTAGATTATATAGTATTTTTGTCCCCAGTTGCCCGTGCTAATTTCAAGTTAATAAAATGATGCTACTATTATGCTTATGACTAGTCATGTTTCCCTTGTCTGATGAACCCATTCCTTGATGAAGCCAATTCAAGTATTTTCAATGGCAATAGGTCATTATATACGAGGGAGCAGCCACGAGCCCAAGATCATTGGTTATGTTAGTTGAAGATTGAAACTCTGAATCTCTGAGATCACAAGAACGATAACGAAAGCCCATAAATTATTACTCCTTATGTTTTAAATTATAAAATATTTTTAAAAGAGTTTTTTCATTTCAAAATTTAAAACATTTAAAATAAATTAAAATTTTATTAAATACGTTAATTATAATATTATCTTTTCTATTTTTATAATTAATTTATGTCTCTTCTCTTTTCAATATGTTAAACGATGGTTATTTTTGAAAGTTTATGTTTTTATTTTGAAAATATAAAATTGTTAAGTGTATTTAATAAAATTTATTAACATGTGAGATTTTATTTAAAAATGTTTTATAATTTGAGATAGAGTGAGTATTATTTTGAGTCATGACTAATTAACAACAAATAATACTCCAAGATCGGAAGAGCGTCCATTCAGCGCTCGTCATCTGATCCACGTATTATATGAGGACAGAGGTATCAGTGATTGGACTCAAATCATGGGCCATTGAACGCAGAGAAGAGAATCCCTCCCATCCCTCCCTCTCTATAAGTGCATGTATATGTATGTATAATGTGTGTGTGTGCGCGTGAGAATTCCCCCTCTCTCTCTTCTCTCTCGCAAATTTCTTGTTCTCATCTCTGAAAATAGAATCTTAAACATAAATGGAAGCTCTATGTAGTATAACTTTTAATTTTAGGAGGCATAAGAATATTTTCAAAGTAGAAGTCTTTGTAATTAAACTATAACGGGAAAGTTAGTAAATTTTAAATTTATTTTTATTTATCCTGGATCAATTAGTTTTCATTTCAAGTTCAAGGTAAATATATAAGAAGATCTGAATAGATGTGTCTGTTTTTTGTAATATCAGCTAATTAAAATTTTCTGTTGGTTTAGCAACAGCTTGGTTACCAGGAAGCGAAAATGTCATCCACAAGTACTGATGTCAATTTGCTTTGGAGTTGGCCAGAAAACTAATTTCTCTTTCAGCAGCACAAAGAAAAAAAAAATAGTAAACCATATTTACATGTGAAGAATATTTACTATGGTAGATCTTCTTGGCCAGTCGTGAAGAATATGGCGTTCCATATGATGTTAGATTATGGTGAAAGCAAGTAAGGCATCGGAATCCAAACGAGAAAACAAATAATTTGACGCCCACAAGAATGTGGCAACTTTATGGGTGATGAAACCAAGAACCTTCGACACTATGCACCTTGAAGATACCACTTTAGTACTAAAGTATTCCTCTATAAATTAAACCCCCCACAATCTATCATACAACCAACAAAACAGCAAGGAATCAGAGAGATCAAATCAAAGTTAACATGTCGAAGGGGAATTCAGTTGTTCTTTTGGACTTCTGGGGAAGTCCATTCTGTTTGAGAGCAAGAATTGCTCTTGAAGAAAAGAGTGTGACTTACGAAGGCAGGGAAGAAAACTTGCTTGGAGGAAAAAGTGATCTTTTGCTCAAATCCAATCCCATTCACAAGAAAGTCCCTGTATTGCTGCACAATGATCAACCGGTAGCAGAATCTGCAAACATTGTTGCATACATTGATGAGGCTTGGCCTTCCAACCCTCTGCTTCCAACCAACCCATATGAACGTGCCCAAGCCCGTTTCTGGGCTGACTACATTGACAAAGAGGTAGGTTTTTGCATCTTTTACCTACACGAATTATGTTTATATGCATAAAAACAAAATGACGCTAATTTTTAAGTTTTTTTTTTTGGTATTGTTCATTAGGTATTTGAAACTGGCAAGGGAATTTGGTTGAGCAAGGGAGAAGAAGGGCGAGAAGTGGCGAAGAAGAACTTGATTGAAGTTGTGAAGAACCTGGAGGGAGCTCTGGGTGACAAAAGTTTCTTTGGTGGTGATGCATTTGGCTATGTGGATATTATAGCACTGGGTCCAGCCTCATGGTTTTATGCTTATGAGAAGATTGGGGGATTCAAATTGGAAGCCTATTGTCCCAAATTCTCATCCTGGTTTAAGAGATGCCTGCAGAGACCCTCGGTTGCTAAAGCGTTTCCAGACCCAGAAAAAGTTCACCAGCTTGTCCTCAAATTATCTGAGATCATGGGTTAACATAAGAAAAAAAAAATTACACGTGGCAAGAATAAAGAGAGAGAATTATGAATGAAGATCCAATTATCAACTTTCTTATAGCCTAGAACCGAGTGACGACAGAGTATGATTATTCACTTCAACCTGAGTTGAATTACGTAGTATAACTCGTGAACATCTAGCCAGTCTTTCTGCGTAGAGAAGTTACCGCTTGGATCTGGTTTATAATTCTCTCCAAACAAATAATCATAGCATGGGCCGGGTATCAACCTTGTTTCACCGTCTTCCGAATTTCATGAAATAAAAATGTTTCTCTTGATGCAGTGCCAATTAATTTTAGTTTAATATTGGCCTTGAATAAAAGCTTGTATGGTACTATAGTTACTTCGGACTATTTTATTATTTTTTTTCTTTTTAAATCTATAGAACCAATGTTTATTTTTAAAACTCACATCAAATATTTTTGTTGATAGTTTAAATATTTTTTATTTAAATAGTGATTTAAATATCTATTATTTAAAATAATTGTCGGGTAACTCATTTTAAATTTTGAATTTGTAGAGTTGAATTTTTATAATTTGTAAAAATTAAATTTATAATTTTATTATAAATTTTTCATTTATATTTTTAATTAAATGTTAATCACAATTACTTCTTAATTCATACTTTTCAATTTCAGGCATAGTTATTAGGATTAACTAATTTTTTCAAGCAGTGTAAATTGATTAAAATTTGTTCATATATAAAAACAAACATGAAGAAGTTGATTGATATAAATAATAAAATATTTTATTTTATAATTTATTATTTATTATTTAAATTTATATGTCATATAGAATTAATTACCTTATATATATACTAAATACAAGTAACAAATGATAAATCTCCTACGTTTAAAAAAAATTAGATCTCATACATTTTTTTATGAGTCTTGTAACTGTAAGCATTTTTACTGTGAGTCTCGTACATATTTTTTTTATTTTTGTTATGGGCCTCACAGGAGTTATTAATATGCAAAGTTTAAATTAAAAAAAGAAAGAAAACATCATTGCTCATTCAACTATAAATGAATAGTACCAGGATGCACTTTATTATGTATATATAGATTCTAAACAATTCTTATAATCAGAACATTCCTTATGTACATTGTTTCTTTTAAAAATATGAGATTTGATAAATTTTTTAGTATTACATGACAGTTAGTTATTTGATTAAATGAAACGGCATATCCAAATCCAATAATATGGTGTTCAATTTGATGGCATATTATAGTAAAAGCAAGTGAGGCCAAGAAATACAGACAGGGAAAAAGATAAATCGTCGCTCACGAGAATGTTTTGACTTTGTGCGTGGTAAAGCCAAGAATCTCCGACTTTGATGTTACATGCTTTGAAGATATCACTTTAATATTAAACTATTCCTCTATTATAAATTAAACCCCTCCCATTCTCTCATCACACAACCAACAAGGAGAAACAGATACATCAAATCAAAGTTAAGATGTCGAAGGTAGGTACAATTGTTCTTTTGGACTTCTAGGAAGTCCGTTCTGCCTCAGAGCAAGAATCGCTCTCGAAGAAAAGGGTGTGGCTTACAAGGGCAAGGAAGAGAATTTGCTCAGAGGAAAGAGTGAGCTTCTACTCAAATCCAATCCCATTCACAAGAAAGTCCTTGTGTTGCTGCACAATGGTCAGTCGGTAGCAAAATCTGCAAACGTTGTTGCATACATTGATGAGGCTTGGCCTTCCAACCCTTTTCTTCCAACCAACCCATATGAATGTGCCCAAGCTCGTTTTTGGGCTGATTATATTGACAAACAAGCAGGTTTCTCATATGTTTTACCTACATAAATGTTCTTATTCCTATCTTCTGCATTGAACTTGTAAAATTGTAACACAGAGAGGCTAAATTATGTTTATTTGCATGGATAATAAAACATTAATTTTTTAAGGTTTTGTTTGTATTGTTAATAGGTATTTGAAACTAGAAATGGAATCTGGTTAGGCAAGGGAGCAGAAGAGAGAGAAATGGCTAAGAAGAAACTTGATTAAAGTTGTGAAGAACCTGGAGGGAGGTTTGGGTGACAAAAGTTTCTTTCGTGGTGAAGCATTTGGCTATGTGGACATCATAGCATTAGGTCCAGCCTCATAGTTTTATGCTTACGAGAAGATTGGGGGATTCAAATTGGAAGACTACTGTCCCAAATTCTCATCCTGGTTTAAGAGGTGCCTGCAAAGACCCTCTGTTGCAAAAGCATTTCTAGATCAAGAAAAAGTTCACCATCTTATCTTCAAATTATCCAAGATCATGGGTTAACTCAAGAGCAAGTTACACATGGCAGGAATAAAGGGAAAGAATTATGAATAATGATCCATTTATCTACTCTCTTGTACCCAAGGGCAAAGTTATAGCAAAGTGTGGCTATTTAGTTTAGCCAGTAGGCATGCTTAAGGGAGAAAGCATGGCCCACTTGAGGAGAAAAAAGACGTGCTTAAGGCCTAAGAGGAGTTGATAGGCGTGCCAAGCCTAAAGGGAGTCCAAGAATTTAAGTCTAATATGCCTAAGGATCCATTGCAAAGTATAAGAGGTCCAATGACTAGAGTCCGGATTAAAGCTATGAAGAAGGCCCCAACTGGTCTCATTGAAGAAGTCCAAGAGCCTAAACTCATGTTCTTTAATGAGCTTCATACGTTTGACAAGCCTAATGAAGAAACTTCACACTTGCTCACAACATTAAAGATCCAAGTTCATGAAGATGCAAGCCCAATTGGTGAAAACCCAATCCTATTTAATTCACCATGTGTTAAATAAGTTTGAAGGGTATTTTGGTCAAGTGGGACGCCATTTATGATCAAATTGAAGAAAGAGAATGTGCCGTTTATGACCATAAATAAGGAGAGAGAAGCATGATTTCCATCATCTTTAAACCTTTAATACGAATTCAAATTGTTTCTTTTTTTGTTCTAAGTTTGAATTGCAAGCCTTAATTGTTTTCTTTGCTTAAAAAAAAGGACTTAATTGTTTTCCTTTTTTATTTTCAGCTTTAATGCTAATTCCTTTTCATTATTATGGCTTTGTTAGGTGATTTGACTTAGAGAGCAAGACTTTAGTTATTAGGAAAGTTTTTGAATTCTCTTATCTAGCCATTATTGCTGAATCTCCAAGAAATAAGAAATCATCCTTTTTTGAGGAGATGGTGCCATTATGGAAGGAGTCATCTAGAGTTAGGGATTCTAGAGTTTTCTATCTTGCCTATAAATAGGCCCCCTTATGTAGTACTCTTCCAATTGAGTGATGAATGTGAATTTTCTCTTTAGTTTGATAAATTCTTTTGTGCAAGCTGTGCTTGTTTTTGGGAATCTTAAGGTGAATATTGGCGTGATTAAGTGTCTAATCAACTCTTGTGGTGTCTCGAAAGCAAAAATTGCTAGAAGCAAGTGTTTTAGTTTTTCTTTTTCTTAATGGTTATCTTTATTGGCTTTTCTTTATCATTACCTTCATCTCTTATCATATCTTTATCTCTACATTTCTTTGTTTCATTTTCACTTTTTTTATTTGTGTATCGGATTCTATCCTAAACTAGCACAATCCTACTCTTGTCCTCACATCAGACTTACACATTAATAATTCGAAAGCAAGTGCATGTATTTTAAGTCATTCCTTACTATGTTACCTTACACTTGCTATGATGAGAGATAATCATAAGGGGGACCTTAAAGTTTAAATAATATATCAAGTTTTGATAGTTGTCCAATTTATGTTATAAAAACAATTTAAAGTAATGATCTTTACAACAAGGCCAGAAGTTTAATCTAAATAAGTTTTGTCTCAGTTGGAGGCCTAAGTAGATTACTTGTGTTTAGTAGTAACTGAGTCAGGTTAGATATATATGGTTTTTGGGGAGTGAGGCTCTATTGCTGTTGTGCTGGTGCCATGGTGACCTTGTCCCTTAGGACCTCTTAGGGTCAAGATTATCTCACTCTTCTAAAATGAAACTTGCCTTCCAAAATTTATTATTATTTTTTGGAACATAAGGCCATGTTAAACTAGACAACCATACAAATAGAATAATTTCACTAATTAAGATACCCTTACATCCTGGAGGTGAAAAGTAGGAAACATTCTAGAAGTAATGTTAAAAATGAATGTGACAAGGTAGCCAATTAATACATTTATTTCCTTTTTTAAGGTGAAGTCAAAAGTAATGGTTCAATCATGCATGATAAATTTTTAATTTCTCTAACCATTCCCATAAGTGGGTTGTTGATGGAGGGTTTCTCATAAATAAAATTGAGAGCCTTCAAGAAGTTATTATGATAACTTTATTGCATTTCTCTTTCTAATAAAGTTGAAGGCCTTCTAGAATACTTGAAAACTTAATGACAATCATAAAATAATAACTATTTTCTTTTTCAAAATGTCTTTTATTCAATTGTTGTGAAAAAATGCCACCACAAATAGCAAATTCTATATGATTGAAAGGTCTCGCTTGGTTCAATTACTCTACTTTTTAAGAAATTAACCTCTCAAAGAGTATACATTTCAAAAAGTTACAATTATTATTTTTAAATAAATATATTATTTTTAATAAAAACACAAAAAATACCATACCCATGCGTTTAGTATCAATGACATTTGATTAATTAATAAAGGTATACATGAAAAAGTAATAACAATGTTAGGGAACTAAGTCTCAACTGGATATCAGTAAGTTGTTTTCTATTCATGAGGGAGCTAAGAGGCTTAACTTCCTGGGAAGTTAAGAATCAAATAACAAGTTAGTTTTACTTCTCAAAACTTTAACTTCCCCCCTTTATTAACTTCAATCAGTTGGCCCTATTTCTCTTGAGCACAACAGTACTTCAAGATTTTCTCTATGATTCTTGGTAATGCCTTGTGTGATGCCAACTATTTTGACTAAACCAAAGAAAATATGCACATAGTTTGTATAGAGAACTTTATCGAACGTACCGACTAAAGTTAAGCAGAAACAAACTTTTGATTCCCTCACCTCAATAAGTTGTTTAGATTTCATTTACACAATTTAAATTTAAAATTTTTTACTTGATCTAAATTTTATATTTCTATTCTTTGATTGATCCACGTCAAGAAAGGCCTGAAATTTTAGGCCCCAAAAAAAAAAGAAAGGCTTGAAATGGCTTCTTGGTCGGTTGTGAAGATCATGGCATTCCATTTGATGGCAATTTCTAGTGAAAGCAAGGCCAGGAAATCCAAATAGGAAAAAGAATAAATTGACACTCACGAGAATGAGAATGTTGCAATTTTATGGGTGGTTAAATCCTCTTTGATATATATTAAAGCATTCCTCTATAAATTAAA